CTTCCTCACGGAACATCAAGCTTTGAAGAAGACTGTCATCTCGGTGCTGCTGGACATGTCAAACTTCTATGACAGGATCAACCTGCAAAAGTTGGCAGAAAGATGGTTGAGCTCCAACTATTACCCGGGCACACATGCATCCTTTGCTGTGCAGATCTACTGTGGCACACGGATCTTGGAGGCGCAGGGAGAAGCGTCAGGCTCAAAGCCTTCTGCAAAAAGTATCCTTTCCTTCACGTTGACCTCTGGATAGACGACCTGAGTTTCGATGTCATAGAACGGGATCCACAGAATGCAGTCCGGATAGCAATCCAGGCCTACACCTTCATCAAGGAGCGCCTAGAGGAGGACGACCTCAAGATCTCAGAGAAGAAGACGGGGCTCGTTGCCTCGAATGTCGCTGTCGAGGCCAAGAGGCTACTTCAGCAACAACTCCCACCAGGTGGCCCCACCGTGCACGACATAATGCGTGATTTGGGAGTGGACTGCGCAGCAGGCCGTTTGAGGAGGATCAAAACGATGAAGCAAAGGCGCAAGAAAGCAGGAAACAAGAACAGGAAACTGCTCACTTCGAACTCAAGTTGTGCAAGGGCAGCATTCAGGCTGGCATTAGTTGGGGACACCAGGCCACGGGACTGGCTCCACAAGTCAGGCTCAAGCTCAAGGCAGCAATGGCACGCCAGATGGGATTGCAACGGGCAGGAAACATGGACATCCTGTACGACATGCACCCAAGACACAAAGATCCGGCCTATGAAGCCTTTGTCTCACAGGTGAAGGTCTACCACAAGTTCTTTGGGAACTGGCCGGAACATCTCCATCGAGACATGGCAAAGGCATGGAAGGTCACCAAGGAGAGACTACAGAATGCCAAATATCCCTGGCAAGTAGCACGTGGACCTGTTGCAGCCTTGCTTTGCTACCTTCATGACCATGGTTGGCAAACAGACCTATATGACCTATGGACGAAGCCGGGAAGCAATGGGGAAGACGACTATACCCTCAACATGATATCCAGTTGGCATTACCTCAAAGAGGAGCTAGCCAGGGCACAAGTTCGAGAACGAATACAAAGCATCCAGAAGAGACAGGTGCTACAAGAGGTTGAGCAACCACTGGATTGGCTGTCTTGGCGGAGATTCGACAAGCAATCCAACAGCAAAGTCAAGACAGCGCTGCAGACCTGGCGTCAAGGGGCCATTTTCACCAAGACCTGAGAAGGCCAAGAGGGCAAGCATTTGCAATGTCCTCACTGCAGGAAACGGGCAGATGCCCTTCACCTCCTATGGCAATGCAGAGACCAACAGGCATTTCCCGCCATTGCCAAGTGAAGCCCACGCGGAATTGGAACAGGGCATAAACCTTGAATTCTGGTCACAAGGTCTTCTACAGCCTGCGTATCAGATCTCCACAGGGGGCGCGGCTTTGCAGGCTTGGGGATCATGGACAGGGCTGGATGAGATCACCCTCCAACCCCATGATGCCGTGACCATAGGGATCGCCAACGCGAGCAAGGACAGCAGACTACGACACTATGTGGTCACCATCCTACATCACATGGTGAAATGTACCGCATGGGGGCCATCAGCACAGTGCTTCCAGGCCGCCAAACCCTGGAGAGGGCATGGTACTATGGGCTCCGCATGACAGCGCACTACGTGGATCTGCAAACCCAGTCAGAGTGCACGTACTATCAGTGAAAGCATGGCAAGCCTGGGTCAAAGCGAAGCACTATGACACCTTCCACGACCTTGCCAACCTGGTGACATGGGACCAACGACAAAGAGTCCGGGCCCTGAGTGTGACTCAGCAGCAAATCAAAAGCATGCCTACCACAGGGCTCTCATTGCGGAACCGGTACAAAGACGCCAACAGAGCTGCCACAGAGTTTCTCTAGTTTGCGCTGTCCATACAGCCGCATGACGTGGAACAAGAATTTCAAGAACAGGATCAGCGGTACAAACAGTATGCACCGATGGCAGCAGAAAGGGTACGCTTTCTCTTCGAAGCCCAGGACCACTTCATGCACGGACACAAAGCCAGTGGAAAAGAACTCCGGCAAAAGGCCAGAGACGACAAGAAAGCCCTGTACCTTGAAATTGGGGTCACAGGGAAAGAAGGAGGCCATCAATGGGCTCCAAAAGGGCGCGGGCTCCAATGTCAACACTGCAAGAAGCAGATTCATCAAAGGCTGCCCATGGCCCAGCTGAAAGAGGCAAAAGAGGAAAAGCGTGAAGTGGCAGTGGGTGTACCCATCACGGGGGGGAACAACCCATGGAAAGCAAGACTACATCGCACGCATCCTGGCAGAGACAACAGCCGAAGGTCATTTGCTGCAGTTGCAAGCCAACTACATAGTATGCCAAAAATGCGGAGTGAGAGTGCTCAAAAATGCGGCACGTGAGAAGATCCAACATCTACATGAGAGTGCATGTTGGTACGGCCCATGGACTCCAAGCCCCCAGTGGACAGGGAACCCTTCCCACATTTTGTGGAGGAAGGGACGAAAAGTCTACTGCCAGCACTGCAAAAGCTATGCAGTAAACAGGCAAGAAGGATGGCAAGCTAGTCGACAGCTTCAACGGCCATGCACGGCCGACACAGCAAAGCAAACGCAACTGCCGATTTGCTTCAGGGCCAGAAATCGGCCAGATGAGAGCTGAAAAAGGTCCGAGAAAAATGCACACATACATACATACATACATTCATACATTCATACATACAGACATACATACAGACATACATACAGACATACGTACAGACATGCATAGAGACATACATAGAGACACACATAGAGACATAATACAGACAGACAGACAGACAGACCGACCGACCGACCGACCGACCGACCGACGGACGGACGGACGGACGGACGTGTGTATACATGCATACTCAATTTTTCATCGGCTGCGATGGGTGGTCGCAAATGGAAGGCCACACAAACCTGGAGTTTTCAGCATAGACTTGCGCAGGAAACACTGGGTCCTCTGCTTTGTCCCTTCTTAGGATGACGGAGAAGCTCACGCCAGTGTCAAGGGTGCACGAGAATCCAGCCACTCGTCGTAGCAACTAGGAAACGTGGAAAGTAGCAACTCGGAGTTGGAAGGATTTGGGGTGAGCAAGCCTGCCCCAAACGAACCTTCATTTTTGAGACAGCTGCTTTGTCATGGACGATCCTGAGGCCTCCTTAATTGTCCCAAGAACTGCAAAATCCGAGTCTGCCGGATGTTTCCTTTGTTCCAAGTTCCCTTTCAGATATTGGAACTATGTTTTGCACGTGGCTGCTTTATCTTTTTTGAGACACATGCGGGGGGGCTCACAAAATATGTTGTGGCTGTGGCAGTGACTCTTTCTAGAACTTGGTCTGTGGTGCGGTGTGTTCGAAGCAATTGGAGATTCAGCTGCCAAGGAAGAGCACAAACATTTGCACGAACTTTCCCCGGTTGCCATGGCAAACGTCAGAAAGAAGGCCGGGAGCAGATTGCAATCAGTACCGATATTGCCGTTGTGCGTGTGTTTTTGGTTGAAAGCCAACTGTACATGCAAGTGTTTTTTGTCCTTGCTTTTCGTCAATGACATGTAGATGCTGTATGATGCTGTGCAGATCCTTTTTGCTATCTTTTGAAAATCGTTCAATGCCATTCATGTGCATTTGGTTATGTTATTTGCGCCTCAAGACCATTTGAACCTATATACAATCATTGTGTGCGCCTCATGTTTGTTCTGCCACTCTGTTTTTTTGCTTTTGAGTGTGCTCCTGGTGCTAGTTTGCAGTTTCTGTTTTGCATTCCCCTCTAGTATCCGGCCTTATTGCTAAAAAAACAAGGGGCGGGAGAAATTGGTCCGTGAGTTGACATGTTTGACCGCATTCATGGGTGAATCGTTCTGGAATTGGGACGTTGGAGCCATTCGACATCGCTTGGAGCCTCAAATGGTTTGGTCCCTGCGACCGCAGGTGCACGCGGACTATGAGATCATGAGGCTGTTCGCTCAGGAAGGCCTTCTTCCTTCAGAGAATGTCTCAGCCCTCTGCAAGTGAGCCGGGCACCGGCCTTCCAACAGTAACAGGCTGCCAAGCAGCAAGCAAGGCCTTCGGAAGGCCTGGAGTTGTCAACTCAGCAGAAACAACACTCTCCACGCTAAGCTCTTAGCTTGGGTGTTTTTTTTTTGACATGGCGAGGTTTTGAGCGGTTTTGGTCGGTTTTGGTTCTCTAGTGAGGTGACCAGAAAGCACCAATGTGCCCCACTTGGCTGCCAATGTGTCCGTGAACAGAACATGGTTTTCACTGACAAACCCGGTTTCATCCAGCTTCTTCTGCATGTGACTCGATGTGACGACGGGCTTTCCTCAGTCGTGGAGTTGGTGACCTACCTTTTATACATGCTTGCTGTCTTGGTGACCAACGACAGATGATGTATGATGATGTGAACATTTGGCCTTTGACGCTGCAGCCTTCTGTGACTGCAGGGAGAATGACATGGACTGCGGTCACTGCACTTTCACAACCTCATCGATGTGCATGGCATCGGATCCGCATCACACGACATCACACGATCCACGGAGATGCCCGATATCAGGGGCCAATGAGCCCCATGGATGAGCGCTCGTGCTCTTCAATGCTTTCGGTGGTGACGGGTTGGCGACGATTGCGAAAAAAACAACGCGAGAGACAGAGAGAGAGAGAGAGAGAGATGGATGACATCTTTGCCTTCCCTTGATTTGGTGGATGGATGTTGAACGGCGAAAGGTGGACAGCACAAGATTGCTGGAATTCATGAAGATGATAGGGGCGTTCCATGCGTGGGATATATAATATATAGATATACAGATATACAGTAATATAATGGCGTTGCTCCAAAAAACGGAGTTCCCTGGTGTTGCAAGGTTCCTCTGGGGTCGTTTAATCCACTCATTCATGACCCAAAGGTATGGACAAAAACGTGAGATCCAGATGATTGGCTGGAAGCGTGTGAATCCACAGAGATGCATCCAGAGCCAGGTTGGTGAAGGTGACCCAGCGGCAGAACGATGAAGCGAGGGAGCTTTTAGGCAGGTGACCCAGCATGGCAGGGCTGGGGTACAGCGGTCCTTGGAGTCCTTGACGGGGATTGGACACGTTGGAGACGCATGACATTGGTCAAGAGGCACGCGCTGCGGTCGGATTCTCCCAAAAACGGTGCAGAGTTCACTTGCCGATCTGAGCTGTCCTTGAGCTCAAAATCTGAGTGCTTGAGCTAAGCTAGAATGGATTTTGAGCAAAAAGCATGCTGAAGCTAAAATCCATTCCTAGCACCCTGCATCAGTTCCCTGTCATGTCGGACAACAGCGCCCGCCATCCACAGCAGATCGCTATCCACATTCACAGGCGTCATGGGCCTCCCAGCAGTGTTAGCGCCTGGAGAAGCAGAGCGTCTTTGTGCCCAACTAGCCTTGAACGGCCTGGCACAAGCAGCGGCCACAGAGGCGGTGTGTCACAGGGCTGTGGCCATGATGGATAATTGTGGGATACATGGAACATGGGGTCAGTTAGGTGATGGATATGGGATAGGCCATGGAAATTAGGAATGGTTCTCTAACTAAGTCAATAGGATTGATCTTTGGGACCCCTTGCAATAATACAAAGATAGAGACTGTCGGAGCTGGAAGATGCTTTTCCTCCACTGGGGGTGTTTGGTGGCTTAAGTACCTGTCCATGTTAGTTGTTTTGGTGGGCATCCTGTTTTGGAGTTTCGGAGATCGATTTCATTCTTGGCTCTTCCAAAACAATTGCAGAGTGTAAGCACTCCCCAAAAGGTTCTAAGCAGGTCGGTTCCGAGTGCGGAGGTCAACCGCCACACAGGCAGGGTCGGCTCTTGTCCCGGTGAGCCGAGGCAAACCAGACCGACCAGACCTGATTGTTCTTGTTGGGTGCTATGAAAGAAGAACCAAGAATCAGCAGACAAATCAGTACGGTTGACTTCGACTATATAATAAAACATATAATCCTCATGTTTGGATTGTGAATCCGCTCCATGTGGGGGGTCTTTATTCGTCAAGCGTCTATACTTTAAATTAGTCCTTTGACCATTTCAGGGGGAATCCGGGTATCCATCCCCCGGCGAGAATGGTGGGTGCGGTCATCGCCCCATGGCTACTTGCCCCAGCTGCACCTCAGCCATTGCGAGGGAACATATTCGAGTTTGTTTCGAAGGTGGCCATGGATGCCCTGGCTTACTCAATCTGAGAGTCTTGGAGAACTGTGGCGGACATTGATTAAGCACGTTCTTCCAGGTGCCACCCTGGTGATTGGGGGTGCCAACATGGACAGTCCTCTCGATCGGCATCAGATACCATTGATGCCGTTGTACCACTGGAAGATGTTGTGCACGGTATAGTTCCTGCACGCAAATCCATATATATATATATATACTTCTTCAACTCTTACCATTTGAAGGTGTAGAGCTGGAGGAGAGAAAGAGACACTTGCACTTAAGGTTGGATCCAAGAGCGGCCCACGTACACAATACGACTACACATATGAATGACACGCGTGTGACCCACGTCCATGCCGATGGTACAGCGATGAATGGTACGGTGGGCAGGACTTCGACGCCTTGGCCTTCGGTGCACCAAAGGTGCTGCGGAATTTGCACCAGGGGAGCGCATCGCCACAGGTGCCGCTGGTTCAGGAGCCGGGAGCCATGTGAACAACGCTCATTTAGGGACATGAGTCTCATGACTCATGACTTGAATGGAGGGTAGGCAGGACGTGGCAGGGGTAGCAAGAACTTCCCGTCGAAGGCAGTTGAATCTGGTTCTCGACGCAAGCAACTAAGCACTAAGCAACTACTCTAAAGTCTGCGGATGGGATGTGTTTAAGTTTAGAGATTGAATTTCTGGGACTGAAGAAAGAAACGGGTTTGAAGGTGGTGACTGCTTAGAGTACGCAGTTCCCCAGGCTGGTCCATATGGGGGGGGTGCCTCATCCATGGGTTTGAGGAGATCCGCATGCCAGAGATCTTGGCGCAGCTGCATTTCTCTCAGGAGGAATTTGCATCTTGGCACGCCTGTGCGTTTGGTAACGGGCAGGTAGGTTAGGCTTGTAATGTAAGGCCATCAATCAGTGTGGGTGGTGTGAAGCATCGGGATTCTGTTATGTAATTCAGCTTCTGGAGGAGACCGCTGTTTGTTGACTTCCCAGAAGACCGCCATGCCGCAACCGTTCTGGCTCTCCAGCCAATGGTTTGGGATTCGTTTAGCCATAGCTTGGAACAATTGACATTCGACATGTCATGGCACTCAATGACCGCCGTCCAGGCCAACCTCAGGCACAGTGACATGCACAAGCCTTGCAGGGGGGCAGCTCTGCAGGTTTCAGCTCAGCTTGGATCAGACTGTGCAGCAGCTTCTAGATGAGCTGATCCGATGCTCTCCTTGGGACCGCATGGAGGATCTCCGAGTCCATGCGGCTCATGCACCGTACAGAGCCTTAGATCCACGGAGCTTGCTGCAGGACCACCTGCCTGACACGCCATTGGTCGTGGTCCGAAGTGCGCTGCAGGTGCGGCTCCAGGAGTTTCCCAATGCGGGAAAGTTTCTGCAAGCCTTGAGTCGCTCAGCATGGCATCCCAAGTCCCCCAATTTCAACCCCCGGTACAAAGCTGAGATGGCAGATGCCGTTGGCCTGGAGGAGGCTCGAGAGTTGATCAGAGACGCTTTGCTGGACTATCCCGCAGCTTCTGGCGATCGGTTTATTCGAACCTTTGGCTACTTGAGTTCGGAGATGGATCAATCCAATATACTTGATGTTGAATTACTGCAAAACTTTGACCCTGGCCTCAAGACTTTCCGGCATGCAGTTGGAATGCACTGGCTGGACATTGCCCGTGAAGCAGCCAGCAGAAGGCTCTCGCAATGTCCGCCCCCAATCTGTTTGTTTGAAAAGCCACGCGATGCAATGATGCCAACGAAGCTGGAAGTGATTGGCCACTTGTTTCCTTCCACCTTCGGTCTAAATCTACAGAACTCCTTGACTCTTAATGGTTGGATTCCACAGGTATCGCGGAAGGTTGCCGTAAGTTTGTTGCTCTCAATGGACTTGGATGCGGACCGGGAAGAGCTCGAAGCAGAGATCCCTTATTGGATCCCAGAGGACGAGATCGTGAGGCTAGTCCACGTGCAGCTGCGTTTGACCTGCTTGGGGATTGCGGAGGTGCAAGGCGCATTACACGAAGAGTCCGTGCAGTTTCTGGCAAAGTTGTTGGGCTACAGCTTCAGCGTTCTGAATGTTGCAGGTGGGGCAGGTGACTTCATTGAAAGATTGTTGCAGGAAGTAGCACACTTGAAGTCAATGCACTTGAAGCGAGGAATCATGCTGCTTGTTCTGGGTTTGACCCAATGTGACTGGCAGTTGTCGGGTTTGACTTCAGCCGTTGGTGTGCCGCTTCGCTTGGTCCTGTGCTATGATTAGGCACTCAAAGCAGGGATCGAATGAGATGCATTGCGGAAACGCAGGAGAAAGGCAGTTGCACATTGGATCGAATGAAGGAGACGGCATGATCCTGCGCAGCTTGGAGTACGAAACGACAGATTTCTCCAAAGCGAACGAAGCGGGCACCCACTCCTGCATCACTCCTGCACAAGACTCAACATCCGAAGGATTTGTGTTCCAATTTGGTAGGAGCTCCTACCTTTTGAGAGCAGCACAAAAACACACACACACATATATATATATAGAGTACTGTATATATTTTGACTATAGACTATCATATAAAAAATACTCGTATTATTCTTTTATATGGGATCAGAGCAGGTTTGTGTGGATTTGGTTTTGAAGGCTACACCCATTAAATGAGAGGCAACTGGGCTTTGGGGAGCCGCCGCTGTGCCCTCTTCGCTTGCTGAGGTGGACTTTTGTATCCTCGCAGGTTGTGACTACCTTCCCACCATCTCCAAGGTGCAACAGCTCATGCAGAGATTCGTCAAGAAATGACACGCAGCATGCCCTTCATGGGACAAAACATGACAAAACTGCGACCATGACTTCGACTCATCCAAACAGTTTGCCTCATTCGTTTAAGCTGACCCACCATGCAACTTCCCCACCGGTCGGTCTCCATGGTGTCTCCGGCCGTTTTGGCGCCGTAGATGGGGATCATGACGGCGCAGCAGCTGATCAAGAAGCACCGGAACATTGAAAGCATCCTGAGGCCGCTGCCGTGGATGTTGAAAACCCGATGTGTCAGAGAGAGGGAGAGAGAGAGTTGATGACAACCTGTACCAAGCGAATTCCATATTCGTTCGGAAATAAATTAGCTACAAAACCCTTACTGTATAATGATAAATTATGATTTATGATCCTTATTATGCATATTTAGCCAAGCGGCGAGCATCACCATCTCCAACTTTGAGGAACATGTTCACACTGCAGCTTTGATCCTTGTTGCAAGTCGACATGACACTTCTTGCTGTGATTTAGAACATCTCATCATCTCATTCCTTTCATGTCAGGAATCTTGACCGCGCCAAGTACAAGGCAACCTGGTCAAAGTTTCTGTGTCCTTTTCTGTGTGCTACACTAGCTTCTAGCTCTTTCTATTTGGACTCCCAGTGAATGTCGGCTAAGTTTCATCAGGTTGCACTTGCGTTTCCCTCTGTTCTTAGGTGCCAGAAGACTGGAACTTCCAGGGTGCAAGGCTAGGCTCCGCGCGCTCCGCGCGCTGCCACGCCGGAAGCGCCAGGGTGGCACCATGCGACCAACCTCACGCCGTCGGAAGGGTGTCACAGTCTCAAATGCAGGGGTCGCAACCACGAATGAAGCATGATGAAGCGCGATGTCATTTTCCGAGACATTTGTGCAATAGGTTCCTAGCCTCTACAGCGAGAGACCGTTGCAAGGACAAAGACGCTGTCTACAATTGCATGTCTACAAATACTGCGGTTGTGCACCATGGTTTCTTCAGACCTGGGTGTGCGCTGCGATGCCTTCGGCGACATCCAAACCAAAGGGCACCGCTTTGGGCCCATTTAAGAACTTGCCCAGAAAGCTCCTTGCACTTGCACCTTAAGCAAGCGGTGTAAATTTTGGTACTACTAGTAGCGGGTTTGTCAGATTGTCTCCTTCATCAGTAGAGCTTGGGGCGGCCTCTTTCGTATTGAATATTTTTTGATGGGATGCTGTCAGGCAATGCTTTTGCCCTATGGACTTGGGTTTCTTACGGCAGACTGAACTGAAGGAGCTTGGAGTTGATGTTTGGCTGGCAATTTTTTAGTTTTCATCGAGAATTTGTATGTGCATAGTAAGTGCATAGCATATCATATAATAGTATGCAACATGCAACACAGAAGAGTGTCCATTCTGCTTGCCCGTTTTGTTTTTTGCTTGTTCGAAATGGTTTCGTTCCACCATGGATTCAACATTGCTGAATGATGCTGAATGGCTGTGTTGCAAAGTCATGCTACGGAGGATGTGGAGCACTTTGATTTGTTTTGAACTGGAGACTTAGATTCGTAGAGGAGTGGTATGTACATGCATGCGCAGATGTTCTTTGAGGATGACTTTGCATGGTACATAATATATGTACAAAACTGTACACTATGTTGCACCATCTCAGGAGAAGCCTGTGGACGCTGGGGCTTTGCGACGTTTGTATCCGGGCAACGAATTCGTGCGGTGTCGTGGGTGGGATGCGTTGTACGAAGCTTTGGGCTCTTGGTCGCTGGACATTGGGACCATTCGGGGGCACCATCCCTCTCGAAGCGTCGCCCTGGATTTTCATGAATCCACTCTGCTTAAAGATCGTGGGGGTTGTGAAGCGAACAGTCGTGGTTTTATTCAAGGGGGACTTGAACTTGAACATCGCTGAGTAAAAGTGGCTGCACAAAAAATGTTGGACCCGCACAAGGGTGCGATGTAGAAGACCAGATCGATAAGTGGCCTAGATGATCCCGTTCATAGGTAGAAGTTGGTAGAAGCATCATAAATCAACAGTTCATAGGCAGAACTGTAGAACCATCATGATTTCCTTTCACTTTGATTCATTGACTCAGCAGTTCCTGTGGCTAGTGAATTTCGGATAGGGAGAATGAGATCTGAGGAGCCCCGGCCCCGCACGGAACATCTTGGTTTCACGGACCTGTTTATCTTAGGTTTCATTTTTTCCTGGGGGCTTCTCAGAAGATACATTGCATGGAGTGGATAGATTTTCTAAATATGTTCGAAAGGGACATGTGCTTTGGAAACGATCTGCGGGGTGCTGGAAGTTTGATGTTTCCCTCCTTTTTTGAACTCTTGGAGATCATTGAGACCGGCCCCCTAACACACACACATGCACACCTGCAGAGGCTCCTTGAGCGCCATTCGCTACCGCCAGAGATGGTCGACGAGAACATGCGGAAGCTTATCACAGTGCAGCTTGGCCAGCTTGAAATGAATAAGGATACACAAAAAGGACATTGTGACTTGTGACATTGCAAAATGGGGTTGTCGGCAAAACAACCCTGATGGCAAGTTGGCAAGTGTGGTTGCAGCAGTTGTAGTGCTGATGCTGGTGTGTCCGGAGCAATCCTGTGCCCCCTCCTGGTTCCACAATGCTATAAAAGTCCAGTCCAGGTCATTCCATAGCCAACAACAATGACAGGCACAGTACAAGTTCCACACAGACAGGTGGACATGGCACTGAATCATCATCAGTGTGCTAATTATGCGACATGACTCGATCGCTGTGTTTTTCACCATCGCGGAGGAAAGGCTGCTTGCAGCCTCCACGGCCGCTTCAGTCTCCACCGCCGCGCGTGCCGAAGAACGGACAGCAGCGGTGGCTTGACAAGGATTGCTAGGATTCAGGTGCCCTTGTGGAGTCATCGGGCAGCTGGTATGTAGAGGTGTAACTTGGCCACCCTGATTCAGGATTTTCGGGTCAAGGGTCTTTCTGGCCTTTCTGGCCTCATCATGCATCATCGAACGTAATCCTAAAGCCCAAATCCCTAACGGGGACTACAGATTACAGACTGTCGGATTGCCTGGTTCCGCGCAGATTATGGATTAGAACTCGACCTGCGGATGAATGATTAATTACTTTGGCAGACAGTTGTTTGTTGTTGGATCTCTTCCTTGATAACCAGCTGGTGATTTCGTCCACATGCAGATTCTCCAATTAACCTCCCACCAACGAGTCCAGTTACCATAAAAGGAACCAGAGACCGATGCACGATGCAGTTGTAGAAGATTCCTAAGATGCCCCAAGCACATTTCAAACCCAGAACCCCCAACTCACGGGTTTGGATTGATTTTGTTTCCAAATCGGGGGTTGCGTCCTTGAGGGTGGCTGTAGATGGAGAGCCCAAAAAAACAAAGTGGATGTGTCCTCTTCGGGGTTCTGCCCGGGACTTCTCGCCCCAGGACGCCAAACAAGTCTAATGAAAATTATGGTTGAGGAAGGTATTTTTTTAAACGTTCCACCAGGAAAATCCAGGAATGATTGCAGATTGTAAGGGTTGCGGATTACGACAGATCACGGATTGTTCGGATTAAAGATCTGGTCCGGATTAGAAGATTTACGGATTCGTTTTGTAGGCCTCATTTGGATGAGCCCAGTCTCTTTAAGAACGGAGTGCAGAGCACTGGGACCGTGACACGTTCAAGCTGTTGGATTGGGCGCATTGGCCGACATGCCACGGCGATTGATCGAAGTGAGTTCGTCAAGATTGATCGAACAGACGAGGTGCCCCACCCCCATGAGGGAAGTGTTCCGCGTTGTCACCCAAGCGATCCCAAGCGGTTTGTGGGCGTGTGAGGCTAGCTGCTAACGTGAAACAGGAGAAGAAGCCCAGAGAGAGACAGAAGAAACAGTTTGGATCCAGGCGCGCCAACTGCCAGACCAGTTTTAAGATGTTTTAAGTGTGGTATGTGCCTAGTGGCCCCGAACTACATGAACATGAGTGAAGTGATGCACTTCGGCTGACTTTCTATTTGGTCGTGCTGTCCCTTGCTGAGCTCCACCATCCACCTTGTGGCATGTGGCTTGATTCAAGCACTGCCTTCCGGAAAACACACCATTACTGTAGCCACCACCGAGGCAACACCATATTCCGATGGTGGCCTTTTTTGTGGTAAAATGTATGTCGTAGTATGTCGAACGCCGGATGAGCACCTTGAATACCATAATTGGACCACCCTAGCTATACTAGTAGCATCCTTGCTACTAGTGAGTGGCGATGCACTTGTTCCTAGTAGCGATGCACCTTGCTACTAGTAGCTTCTTACTACTGGTAGTAATGCACCTGCTCCTAATAGCATAAGACCTTCAACCTCCGTCCGTGGCTTGGGAGGCAAACGACTGAGTTTTGTGCCCGCCAGCAGCCTTACTTTCGTTTGGGGGTACAGCTCGCAAGACATGCTAACAGACACGTTCAGGCTAAAAATCACCCTTCCAACGTCCAACACCTCAACACCTACACTGGCATGCAACATCAGAGTTGATGGCACAAATGCTGGTGGAGAGCCAACTAGAGAACTCTGGATTGGTGGCAGTCTCCTTAAGCCTTAGTCTACGGTTCCCGCTCAAGCTCAACCAGTTGCAAGAACGATTCTTGCAGGCCTCCGGCCACGCCACAAAAGAAGGGGAGCCCTTTGCGCCAAGCCTTCTTCAAGGACATTGGTCTGGGGGAAGAAGGAAAGGAACGTGAGGGACGCCGTAAAAACTGACCTCAGAATGTTCCATACCACCGTAGATTTCACAGTTCCAATTGTTCATGATGTTGATGCCTGTTGCTATGTTGAAAACTTCACGTGGCCTCTCAAGATTCATTTTCATCACCCCCATGCCACCATCATGTGAATTTCCAGATCAGGTGTAACCAACTTGCTGTGATCACAGTGACCTATCATACTGCACCTTTGCGTCGCGCAGGGCAAGCGCACGGTGGTGGACGAGGCCTCGCCCGTGGCCAAAAGGCGGGACGAAAGGGCGGGGATTTCCAGGTTCGCGACGACCGAAGAAAGGTGATCCCTGAACAAGTAGGATCCATTCGCGAAGACTAGACATTTGGCTTAACCTGTGAACGAAGGTTTCGGCTTCGCCAAAGCGCCAATTTGGCGTGGATCTATTTCCTTTCAGCTTGGCTGAGAGAAGCTCTTGCAGGCCTCTCCATCTTGGCCGATTCACCGAAGCGTCGACGTTAGGCGACGCCATGCGGTGGCCATGCTCCAGCACTGCTTCGGTGACGATTTGCTGCTGCCCGCGGACACCTGGTGAAGAACAAAACGGTTTGGGTGTTTCCATAGCTGGCGCCCAAGTGGTCCAAGCCCACATCCACAAAACCACATAGAGGCATGAGGGCTTCAAGTTTGAGGAAGGGAGTGAATCAGCATCAGGTGGGAGGGAGGATCAAGCCAAGCGGATGGGGATTCAACATCCGCTTTTTGCCACGGACAGACTGTGTCGAGCTGACTACGGCTGTATAAGAACACTTCATTGTACTAGTCACTACTCACCGAGTAGATTCACAGGTATGCCAATATAGCCTTTGGGGTTGCAACACTACGAGCGCATCGGACAGCGTGGAAGATGATGCAGTCACCCAGTCTCCTGGCCACGCCACCAAGCAAGTGCATGTATTTGACTCTTCCAAGCGGCATGTTATAGGATATGCCCAACCTAATTATTGGACACCGCTGTGGGCATGACGCAAAAAGACGAAGTCTTGTCCCCTCATGTGGAAGATGTGTTGAAGGTTACTATTTGGTCGGTGTTCATTTGTGACCCGCTAAGGGTGAGCCCCTTGAGACACTTCTGTAATCCGTTTGATGTACTTGGACTTATAGTGTTACGGCAGATGTGCTCCAGTGGGGTTCCAGTGGTTACTGAACCCCCTGAGCTGGAGACGCCCTTTACCAGCCCTCCTGCACGCAGAGGAGACGCCCTTAGCAGAACTGGAGCGCCTAGTCCAAGAGGTGCAGACGGATGCATCCTCTCAGGCAAGGCAGGACATAGCTTTTTGAGAAACAGTTCCAGACTCAGGCTCCCTCCATGCAAGGCGCTCTGAAAAGGCCCCACCCCCAATACGCTAAGGATATCCTGGAGGCTGTATGTTGTGAAGAGTTGTGCGCGCCAGTTCATTGCTCAGAACACCATCCCTCGCAACAAACCTAGTATATAGAACAGATGTTTGGCAGCCCAAGATTGAGGAACTGAGATTGGTTGGTCCTCCTTGAATCATCTTGACTCCGACCGAAGGGTCGGGTGAGAGGCAGGCGAAATCGGCCAGGCCTCGCAGTGTACCACTCTTCCGGGGAGCAGCTTGTTTAGCTGCCTATCATTGGAGGAGCCGCCATTCCATGTGAAGGTAACGATGACTTGGCACCAAGTTTGCCCACTTTTTGTCGGCACTGCAAGTGCATCGAGTTAGATCACATCAGCTGCTTTTGACGTCTTTCAGTACTGTGAGCTCAGAAAGCGCATGAAAACGCTGCACTCAGAGATTGGCCCACCACCAGGCTCACTTATAGTCATTGTTTGACATGTTTTGACTCCATGGTTGTTGCGTGGAGAGACGTTAGCAACAGAGCAGACAACTTATAAGCATAATCTTAGTGTCTTCGCACTGCGCGATTAGATGTGCAGCTCAGTTTCGATACAGAAAAGGCACTGTGCCTCCAAGAAGGCATTGTACGAAGGTTTGTGGGCCGTTTTTGGGAGGCTGACCTAGGCCGGAACTTGAGCAGACCTAGGAGCTTTGAGCAGCGCTGGATGTGCTGTGACCCAGATGACTGTGAGCACCAGGCGTTCTTGAAATCTTTTTCGTTGCTTTCTCGCGACTTTATGACTTTGTGATACTTTATCCCTAGACTCTACATATAGTTGATATCGGAATTCTTACAGTATCACAATGTGATGCATTGTGATGCATTGTGACTTGTTTTGGAATGAAGCTAGTTTAGGTTGTTGGAAGACATTGTGTGATTGATTTGATGGCGGGAGCTATGTTCAAAAATGCTCAGTGAACTAATTCGTTGCGCGCATCTAGCCTGGTACTGGCAAGCGTCAGCCAGGATAGACCGGGCCACCCAAAGATCCCGGAGTGATTTTTACTCAGCCTTTCGCCAAGGGCACCCTGTGTGGGAAGGTATTGAGCAAGCTAAACCCAAAAGCCTGCAACAAGAATTCCACCAAGCATCTCGTAAATTCAGGATTCTTTCTCATTTCTTATCCTGATTGGTTTCTTATCAGAATGTTTAATGATACCTCATGCAGCATTTTCTTGGGCCTCTTTTAGCGACAGGCTGCTTTCCAATTCTTCGTGCTGGGGGAACAGACGCGAGGAAAAAGCAAAAACACCGAATCCTTCTTCGCGCGCGTCGCGTTGTTGATATGTTTTGTTGTTCAGGCCATGACGACCTGTCATGATGTCATGGGTTCGGACATATTTGGACCAATTATATACATGTGCATTGCATGGCCCAAGAATGTAGCTTTGCCTTTGCCAAAGAAGGAGCTTTCCACATGCAATTAGCGCCTCATAGGTGCCATGTGTCTTATTTTGAGTGCCAGTTGACTTCACCAAAGGTCACCATGATTTGGGGGTTAGATGATTGAAGAGAATTGTAGCTTTGTGATGATGGATTAAAACCACATGATCACTGAATGGTTTTGACTCTTTGACATGTTTTGACCAATGTCAGTGGGTGTTCAAGGTCTTCTTCCATGTCCTGCCATGTCTTCCATGGGTTCCGAATAAAATCCCTAAGAGGGCATAGACATGATGACTCGATCAGCGCTTTTGACAAGGTTATTGATTCGTCAAGATGGCTCCTTTGTGGAGGAAGATGTCTTCAGAAGGTCTATCGCAATGTCCATATCAAAGACAAACTGTCAAACAAGATTGTAACGTGTGTGGAAAACACCTGTACTTGCATGTAGACTTCTATGTATATACTTGTGCACATGCCCTAGAGAGACGGACATGATAGGCACGCATTCCCATATTGGTTTTGCTGTCTCGAGACTCCGTTTCTTCATTATGAGAAGCTTCAAGATAGACCGAGACACTGTTGACAACCCTGCAGACACTGTTGACACGTCTCAATTTGACACAGCGCACGATGGCTCGATGGCTCTCCATCTGACATCCTCGATTCGAGGCGTGGGAGCGCTGCCCCAATGAGCACAAATCACATAGGAACCATGTGGCCGCTATTTTGACAGGACAAGGCCGTGACAAGGTCATATGTCAGTGCTGTTGTTTTTCCTGCTGTCAGCTTAGACTAAAAGATACCGAAGGTAGAAACTTGATTCTTCCCACGCTGTGGTGGCATCCATCCGCCTTCTTTGCGCCAAAGCATGCCGATGGGGCCACGTGGCCCACGTGGAGGTTTTTGCTGAGACTAGACCTAGATGCGAAAGAGTGTGAGGTTCGCAAAAGCTTGGACACGCCCAAGCACCAGCGTATGCGACTGTTGGCTGGTTGCGTGACATCATGTGACATCAATAAGATGGCCAACGTGTGAACTACCGCGGAGGCCGGGATGCGATTCTCCCTCAGGGCCATGAGAGGAGAGAATTCCATGTGCGTGCTCGTGTGTCTGGCATGTTGTACCTGTCCCAATTCAATGCATTTCACTGAGTGTTGCGGACATGGCACCTAGAAGAAAGCGACATGGGAAGAGAACATAAAATCAAGACTGATGTGACTAATGTCCCCAAAGGTGGAGGTACTCGTAAACTTCATTTCGTTCAAGAGTTGCAGAAGTGAACAAAATGTAATCGCCGAGTTGGAGATGAGCACCCAAGTTCAGATCGGGCCGGATCCATCGAAGAATCTCTGAGCTTGGCCTTGGAGATCTTGGAGACCATCAGCCCGAACGAGCCAGGTGTCTCGATGACCTCGGGTGCTTGGCCCGAAGGACTCGTGTGCTTGGCAGGCACAAACAACGGAGTTCGACCCTGAATTGTTGTCGGTCAGTAATGGTCAGTCCCTGGATCTAGTTAGTTAGGTCCCTGATACGCCGCAGAAATCACAGGGTTCGAGGACTTAGCGAGTCTTACATGTTACTTATTGTGTCAAGGATGATTGTTGATGGCTGTGCTGACATTGGATGGCATGCCGGCAACCATCCCATGCAGTTCGATAGATGCCCGCAACTTGGGGCAACATGTAGTTTGTCAGATCCTGTGAAGTTTGTGGCAACCAGAGAGTCCCTACCTGAAAGGGAGCTCAGTCGCTTCGATGGCGAATCTAGCAGGTGTGGGGCACTGGTTTGGATTTTTCTTGTGCGTGCAGTTCCCTTCAGAGAGCTTTTTGGTGTTTGTTTATTGCATGATTGCTTGTCCTTTGTCAAGGCACTGCCGCAACTTGGGTGGGCGCTCACAGGTCTCGGATGGCCAGGAGCTGGTGGTGGGAATTAAGGTAGAGAAACACATCTAGGTTCATGCTATCCATGATGATCGTTGTGGCTTGACCATGTTGGTGCAATAGGTATTTCAATGGTTTGCATAGACAGGTTGAAAAAGTGACACCTGTTGAAAGTGTAGTGAGTACAATGGAAGCATTCGCATTTGATTTCTAGATTCTATAGCGATTTTGTGAACACTATACCACTTACACGTCCTCTCCACCTTTACCGCTTGGGTCATTTTGCAGCGACTGCAGCGAGTGAGGCATCAAGCTGGGCCTGCAAGTGAAACCGCTACTCAATTACCACATATGTGGAGTTTCCACTTGCAAGGAACCGTTCTTCGGAGGTGTCCACTGGCAGTTGCGACACTATATATTTATATATATATATGTATGCATATATACCCAATATCACATCATGTGAATCATGTCACATCCAAGGCATACTGCATACCACGGCTTATTTGGGCCAGTCGCCTCCGTTCTTTGCAGGAGCCAGCGGAGCAGACGGAGCAATGGCAAGACCAGCGAGGTCTTTCAACCATTCTGGGAAGGCCCGCCTGGAGCTTACATACTCGATGAGGCCACTGCAAGATTATATTTATATGCTGCATACACGCTGGATTCATATCCAAGTATACGTATTATACAATATAATTACACATTTCCGTGTGATAGCAGACCGCGTAACTTAGTAACCACATCATGAAACCAGCCATACCGGATTTTGGACCAATGTAGCCGTAGCCAAGCTTTTAACTTTTTGGGTTGATCAATGTTGGAGTGTCTCATCGAGACAGGTCATAAATTTGGCAGCCGCTGCTGCAGGTTTCGCGGTGCAACCGTTTGCAGCTCAGTGGGTGTGGAGGAGACTGCATTCGACAGGTGATCCGGCTGGTGCTTGGATGTGTGTCGAACCGATTGCAGAAACAGATGCCAGTCTGGTTCTGGACCCTAGGGAATGAAAGATCGTAAACGAGAGTTTGGGAGTCACCATGAGTCACCATCATCATCGTCGTCGTCATCATCATCGTCGTCACCGTCATCATCCATTGCGCACAGGTATACGTATACTTGATTGTTGGCCCTACTGTTGCAAGATCCTGCCAGCATAGATCGAATGCACACGCTGGTGGAGCTCAATTATGATGGATCCCTTTCATCGCAATTTTGCAGCAAACAACTGTGTGAAGAAATGTTGCAGTCCATAGGTCCTTTGGGCTTTGCTCAAATGCACTCAAGACCCAAATATTCAAGGGGATCTTGAGAGATGGCCAGGTTTCCCACCCATGGCCCATGCCCATGGAAAATGGAGGAAGTCACATACATCTCTCCTTGTTGGGGATGTGATCGTCAGTGGAAATCCTCAGGCCCCATGCATGTCTCGCACCTGGCATGAGCGAGCGCCTTGAGGTCCTGGCATGAGCGAGCGCTCGATGTCGCCGAAGTGCTCGGTGTCTCAGCCGGGGTGAAGACGATGGCGGCTCGAAGCGACGGCTTAGTTGGAGCGGTCGGTGCGGCCGATGGATGTCCATGGGGTGCGGGGCCAGTCATCCGGCTCAGGCGGAAGATTCCCAGGAACTTCGAAAGGTGCTGTAACAAGTGCATCGCTTCTACGTAGTAACAAGTGCCTTACTAGTAGTTTCGTTCTACAGTTTTATGATGTTTCAGTACGTGCATCTCAGCGCAGGATCCGAGCGCATCTCAGCCACCAGACCGTGACTGTCGTGACTCTTCCATGACTCTAGGCCTGGTGCTGGACGTGGATGGGTGGCACGCAGACAGGACTGTGCAGACAGACTGGGACTTGCCATAGACTTCTCAGTGGGTTTGGCTTAGCATAGGTTCCAAAAGGACAAGCCAAGCAGTCAACAGCATTGGCATGTCCAATAGACAGACACGGAATCAGTTGTCCTATTTAGATACATGGCTGCAAGGGTTTAGTGTCACATCTCGGCGAGATGCCTTGCCCTGGGCAGGTCCAAAAGGGCGAGTTGCTACTGTCCATCCCTCGTGTGGCAGCAATCGAAGTGGACATGGATGAAGACATGGAGGAGCCCCGAGAAATGCAGTTTGGAATCCAAGGTCCTGGCAAAACTGACCACAT